AATTGGAAAATCTAAAAGAAATGGACAATTTTCTGGATACCAAAAATTAAATCAAGACAAGGGCTGGACGGTGGTGGCACACGCCTTTAATCCCAGCACTCAGGAGGCAGAGGCAGGTGGATCTCTGTGAGTTCGAGGCCAGCCTGGTCTCCAAAGCGAGTTCCAGGAAAGGCGCAGCTACACAGAGAAACCCTGTCTCAAAAAACCAAAAAAATAAATAAATAAATAAAAATAAAAATAAATCAAGACCAGATAAACAATTTAAGTAGACCTATAGTTCCTTTGGAAATAGAAGCAGTCATTAAAAGTCTCCCAAACAAACAAACAAAAAGGGCCAGATGGTTTCACTAAAGAATTCTACCATAATTTCAAAGAAGAGCTAATACCAGTACTCCTCAAATTGTTCCACACAATAGAAACAGAAAGAACATTGCCAAACTCTTTCTATGAGGCTACAATTACCCTGATATCTAAGCCATACAAAGATGCAACAAAGAGAATTACATACCAATGTTTCTCATAAACATTGATGCAAAAATACTCAATAAAATACTGGCAAACCAAATCCAAGAACACATCAAAAAAAATCATCCACCATAATCAAGTAGGCTTTATCTCAGAGATGCAGGGATGGTTCAACATACAAAAATCTGTCAATGTAATCCATCACATAAACAAACTGAAAGAAAAAAAAACACATGATCATTTCATTAGATGCTGAAAAAGTCTTTGACAAAAAATCCAACATACTTTCATGATAAAGGTATTGGAGAGATCAGGAATATAAGGAACATACCTATACATAATAAAGGCAATTTACAGCAAGCTGCCAGCCAACATCAAACTAAATGGAGAGAAACTCAAAGCGATTTCACTAAAATCAGTGACAAGGCTGTTTACTCTCCCCATATCTATTCAATATAGTACTTGAAGTTCTAGCTAGAGCATTAAGACAACAAAAGGAGTACAAGGGGATACAAATTGAAAATGAAAAAGTCAAACTTTCACTATTTGAAAATTCTATGACAATATACATGAGTGACCCCAAAAATTATACCAGGGAACTCCTACAACTGATAAACACTTTCAGTAATGTGGCAGGATACAAGATTAAATCAAAAACTCAGTAGCCCTCCTATATATTTATATATATATATATATATATATATATATATATATATATATATATATATATATATATATATATACAAGTGATAAAGGGGCTGAGAAAGAAATCAGAGAAACATCACCCTTTACAATAGCCACAAATAATATAAAATACCTTGGTGGTAACTCTAACCAAACAAGTGAAATACCTGTATGACAAGAATTTTAAGTCCTTGAATAAAGAAATTAAAGAAGATATCAGAAAATGGAAAGATATCCCATGCTCATGGATAGGTAGAACCAACATAATAAAAATGGCAATCTTACCAAAAGCAATTTACAGATTCAATGCAATCAAAATCCCAACACAATTCTTCACAGGCCTCTAAAGAACAAAATTCAACTTTGTATGAGAAAAAAAAAAACTAGGATAGCTAAAACAATCCTTTGCAATAAAGCAACTTCTAGAGGCATCACCATCCCTGACTTCAAGCTCTACTGTAGAGCTATAGTAATAAAAAAAATAGCTTGGTCCACAAGTGTGATTAATATCATGAGTGTAATTAATAAATATCATGAGTGTAATTTAAAAAATAAGAAAAAAAACAGCTTGGTATTGGCATAAAAACTGGTATGTGGACCAATGGAATCAAATTGAAGGTCCTGACGTTAATCCACACATGTATGAACACCTGATTTTTACAAAGAAGCCAAGACCATACAATGGAAAAAAGAAAGCATCTTCAACAAATGGTGCTGGCATAACTGGATGTCAGCATGTAGAAGATTGCAAATAGATCCATATCTATTACTATGCACAAAACTCAAGTCCAAGTGGATCAAAGATCTCAACATAAATCCAGCTACACTGAACCTGATAGAGGAGAAAGTAGGAAGTAGCCTAGAAAGCATTGACACAGGAGACCTCTTCCTAAATATAATACTAGTAGCACAGACACTGAGAGCAACAATTAATAAATGGGACCTCCTGAAACGGAGAAGCTTCTGTAAGGCAAAGGACACAGTAAAATAAGACAAAACAACAGCCTACAGAGTGGGAAAAGATCTTCGCCAACCCCACATCTGACAGAGGGCTGATCTCTAAAATATATAAAGAACTCAAGAAACTAGACAGCAAAATACTAAATGATCCTATTTAAAAATGGACTACAGATTTAAACAGAGAATTCTCAACAGAAGAATCTCAGGTGGCTGAAAGACATTTAAAGAATTGCTCAGCACTCTTAGTCATCAGGGAAATGCAAATCAAAATGACTCTGAGATATCATCTTACACTTGTCAGAATTGCAAAGATCAAAAACACTGATGACAACTTACATTGGAGAGGATGTTGAGCAAGGGGAACATTCCTCCACTGTTGGTGGGAATACAAACTTGTACAGCCAGTTTGGAAATCAGTATAGCAACTTTTCAGAAAAGTGGGAATTAATCTACCTCAAGACCCAAGGATACCACTCTTGGGCATATACACAAGGAATGCTTAATCATACCATAAGGACACTTGCTCAACTATGTTCATAGCAGAATTATTCATAATTGCCAGAACCTGGAAACAATCTAGATGCCCCTCAACCAAAGAACAGATAAAGAAAATGTGGTACATGTACACAGTGGAGTATTACTCAGCTGTAAGAAACAATGACATCATGAAATCTGCAGGCAAATGAATGGAACTAGAAAATACCACCCTGAGTGATATAACCTAGACTCAGAAAGACAAAAAAAAAAAAAAAAGATTATGTACTCACTCATAAGTGAATACTAGATGTAAAGCAAAGGATAATCAGACTACAACGCAAAACTTCAGAGAAGCTAGGAAACAAGGAGGACCCTAAGAGGGATGCATAGATCACCTTCGGAAGGGGAAACAGAAGAGATCTCCGTGAGTAAACTGGGGATGAGGGAAGTGATAGAGGGTAGGGGATGGGGGATGAGAACATGAGGGAACAGGATGGTCAAGCTGGTGGAGGGACAGAGTGGGAGAGCAATGAAAGAGACATCTTGATAGAGGGAGATATTATGGGGTAAGGGAGAAACCTGGTACTAGGGAAATTCCCAGGAACCCACAAGGATGACCCCAGGTTAGACTACTAGCAATAGTGGAGAGGGTGCCTGAACTGGCCTACCCTGGTAATCAGATTGGTGAATTCCCTGTCATCATATAACCTTCATCTAGTAACTGATAGAATCAGATGCAGAGATCCACAACTAGCACCAGGCCAAGCCCCAGGAGTCCAGTCAAAGAGAGGGAAGAGGGACTATATGGGCAAGGGGAGTCAAGATTATGTTGAGGGAATCTTCAAAGACAACTGAACCGAGCTCATAGGAACTCACTAACTTTAGACAGACAGTGGTGGAAACTGCATGGGACTGGACTAGACCCTCTGCATACAGGAGATAGTTGTGTAGCTGGATCTGTTTGAGGGGCCCCTGACAATGTGATCAGGATCTATCCCTGGTATATGAGCAGGTTTTCTAGAGCCCATTACCTATGGTCAAACACCTTGCTCAACCTTGATGCAGTGGGGAGGGTCTTGGTCTTACTGCAACTGAATGTACCAAGTTTGGCTGTCCCCTCCATGGGAGGACTTACCCTTTTGGAAGAGGGAGAGGAGAGATCTGTGGTTAATATGTAAAATAAATTTTTAAAAAAATTTAATTAAAAAAAAAGAAAAGCTGGCTAGAAACAAACCAAGCTAAGGCCAGGCATTCATAAGTTTAATTAATTAATTAATTAAATTTTAAAAAAGAAAGAAAGAAATTAACTAAAACATAGATACATGGAATTAACTAAAACATAGATACATGGAACTAACTAAAACACAGATGCATGGAATGAACTAAAATACAGATGCATGGAATTAACTAACACATACCCCCCAAAGGCACCTATTCCCATTCCCAAGGGGAGTCATTGCTTTCCCTGTTCACCCCTTATCACCCCATTGTAATCTCAGCTCCACTAATGGAGGTTCCACACCTAATGCCATCCTCAGTTCTCATTTGTCATTAAGCCTATTGTCTCTGTCCCAAGAAGATCCCCCTTTCCAATCTATTTCCTTCCTATGAAAGTGTGGTTTAACTAAATGGTATTGTGAAATAAAATAAAAGGAAAAAAAAGAAAGTGTGGTTTATTTTGTACTGTCTTTGTTAAATTGCCACCCAGAGGTCACTTAATCAAGTTCATTCTCCTCTCAGCTGATCTAGTAGAACATTAGGATTAAAGCATGAATCTGGTCATAAACCTTAAGTTTCTGAAGGTCCATGATGCTCACTTCCCAGAAGTAAGAGGATGCATGTCTTTCACAATTGAATCCCTGCCACACACTGCTCCCCAACACACACACACACACACACACACACACACACACACACACACACACACACACATACACGTAAACCTACCTCAGTCTCCTTCCACACTTCCTGCAAATGCTCTATTTTTTTTTTAACTGACCTCCAAACAATGCAAGATCTTTCATGATGTTTAGCTTCTGTATGTTTTCTCTAGCACTCTGGGGTCTGACTTTTCCTGCCTACAAAGGAGATGCCCCTCAGGGTAATGCCAGGTCATTTCTGATTCCTTCTGATGAGCGTCTCTTAAAGCACATGGGTGGTCCTAGACTCAGGTTCCCAAACCAGGTAAAGATGACCACAGTGGTCATGACACAGGCCTTACAGATTTCTCATTAGTCTGAGGCCACATTCTACACTGATCCCTTCCAGAAAAGGAATGGGATTTTTGTCACCCATATATTTTTAGCAGTAGACCAGGAGGTTGAATATTGAGTTTCACTCCAAAGATGTTAGTGAGGAAAAGTATTCTGAATATTACTTCTGGAATGCTCATTTGTAGATATGTGGATACTCACCCCTGCCTTGATGTAGATGGGAACAAACACCCACCCGAGAACTAGCACCATAAGGAGGGCCTGTAAGAAACCGAGGAGAGAGTGTAAATAAAGAGGAACTGCTTGGGAGACATAGACCACGAGTAGAAAACCAGAAAAAGACATTTCATTATATCTTGTCCTACTGAACAGTTGAGATCCTTGGACAACTGTTACTTCCTTTCCTCTGTGTTTATGATTCAGAGGCCAATACTTCCTGAGACATAGGATGTGACCCATGATGTGAAATGAAAGATGATCAGGCAACATGGCAGAGTGGAGCCGAGTTGGGCGACTGGAAAAGCATAAAATGTTATCACAAAGCATCGCCCTTGAATGGCATAATATTCTTGAAAGGATAAAGCAATCAGAAGGATGAAGGACATCTGGAGCTACATGAAGATTCTGAGTGCAGGTTCTTGACAGGTGTAACCATGTTGCTTCAACAACCAAGTAAGGCAGCTGTTTTAAGCAGTGGTCCTTATAGAGGTAGAAACTGCACCTCATAGAGATTAGGCAAGCACAGTGTCACAGGCTAAAGGAGGACAGCTGAGTCACACCGAGGGCCATCTGAATGTGACTCTAGAGGCAAAGTCCATGGCACTATCAGAATCAAAGTCTAGCCAAAGGGCATATACTGGAGGCCCTCATGCCACTATTGTAAAAATTAGGAGATATACATAACAAGGGAAGAGCAAAGGTATGTATGATGATTCCCAGTCACTCCTAAGTCCATGTAGGGATGGTCTGCCTAGACTTTGACCATGATATGACTTTCTTCTACACTGGTGTCTTCCACTCACCAGTATGCACACACTACACAAAAACATTGAGGGGAGAGATCAGATCAAGCTCCTGGAGCATGTGCCAAGTCCTTGCCATTGTCTACGAGGGACATCATTCCAAAGGGTCCCTCAGTGTGCTGTGCAGATTCTCTCCCAATGTTCTCTACACCACTGAGGTC